ATTCTAACCGAGTGCCAGGCACTTAGAAAAGTAAGTGTCAGCTGGCACTATGAGCTGAACGCCAAACACTCGCTAAAAATTAAATAGCCAAGTAGTAAGTGGCATTCTAGCCGAGCGCCAGGCACTTAGCAAAGTAAGTGGCAGCTGGCATTATAAGCCGAATGCCAATCACTTGCTAAAAATTAAATAGCTAAGTAACAAGTGACATTCTAGCCGAGCGCCAGGTACTTAGCAAAATAAGTGGCAACTAGCACTATGAGTCGAGCGCCAAACACTTGCTAAAAATTAAATAGCCAAGTGGCAAGCGGCATCCTAGCTGAACGCTAAACACTTGCACAAAGATGATATTAAGAGGCAACAATAGGATATTAAAAATACTTTGGGACAAGAGTTGGTAAAAAATCATTCATTTTATTCATAACTAGTTCACAGTTTCCGAGGCTTTTTTTTCGAGAGCCAGTCTCACAGACCGTTCATTAGACAACAAGCATTGGAGATTATCTCTTTTAGCCCTCAAGACTTCTCGCTCGGTCTGTAGAACGTTCTTCTCAATCTGGAGAGTGTTCTTCTCATCCTAAAGAGAGTCTGCATCTTTCTTCAGAGCGTCTCTCTTTTTCTCAACATTATTAAGCTGCACCATTAACTCGGCGTTCCTGGTGCTGATGACCTTATTTTATTTATTGGCCGTTTCAGGCCCACTAGCGAGCCTGCGTGCCCGAGCGTTGGATGAGTCGACATGTTTTTGCATTGTCATCATCCCAAACAGAATCTGCAAACAGATGCACGAATACTAATTAAGCTGAACGTATATTCAAAGAAGGCGGAGTATGAAGGTTTTCTTAAATTAAATAAGTAAGAGGTGAAAGATTACCTCGATGGCAGCCAGAGGAAAATGGTTAAACGTCTCCTTCTGGGTCAGAGCTTTAGCTACTTCAATGTCCTTAGGGGACCATAAGTGCTTGTAGTAGGCCAGAGCGGTCTGACCTTCCTTGAACATAGTTTCATTGGATTTAACGACCGATCCATCCGATCGGATGAATCGTGGGGTCCATGGGCCAGCTTCAGAAGGAGCAGAGGAAGCTTCACTGGCCTAAGAATGACAGTGGTTCTAGTTTGGGAAGTTATGGATGCACCCACCCCCAAGTTTCAAACCCTTCTTAATAGAGGAACGTCATCAAGACTGGGTTCACTGTCAGGCTGGGGTCTTTTACCCCGTTCTTTCTCCAGAGCGCACACCAAGGCGCTGGAAGGGTTATCTGCCCTTGGGGTGCTGTTCGGATTGGCAGGAGGAACACTGACGTTAGGGCTAGTGGTAGCCACGATATTCGGTGTGGTGTTGGAAGTAGTGGCAGAATTGGATACCGAGGCTGGAGAGGAAGCCAGGGCAGGAGCGGTGACACTCTTAGGAGGGTCCTTCCTTCTGCTAAAAGAAGGGATCTGAATTTGATTTATAGTAGTGCCTAGAAGTGAAATATCATTGAGATTCTCGGACGTAAGGAGTTCCGAACAAGAAGGAACGTTGTTCAGAACGTATTCCTTCAGATGTGTGATCATATCCCTGCAAACACTGTAACTGAGTTTGTTATGAGGAATACCCAAAGAATTATAAAGAAAAGAACAGAAGCGAGGAATGCAAACTTCACAAAGGCAGTCGCTCTTATGGTTCTTGTATTTTTGTATGAGGAAACAGAGCATTCACCAAAGGCATTTGGGATGTGGTAATCCCTGGCAGCCGGAGCAAACCAAGCCCCTCAAACCCCAATTATGCTCTTCTTCCACCCCTTCTCAGAGTCGAGCTTGTCCGTACAGATGGATCTTCTTTCAATAGGGTAAAAGTGGTAGTACATGTCATCTAAACTGATCTTACTGACTTTGTAACAGAGGAGAAGATCTATAATATCAAGATCTAAACCTCTATCACGGTTCAGAAGCAGTAGAATAAACAAAACCTTAAGAAAATTAGGGTTAACTTAGAGAGGGGAAAACCTTAACCTATCAAAGACATAACAGAAAAAAGGATGCAAAGGGAATCTAATAATGTTTAGGTGAAGGAGGGAGAACAAGGTTTCACCGGGAAGAAGGCCAGCACCAGTTTTAAAGTTTATGATGAGCACTGAAAAGTGCGCATTTAAACCCGTTAAGCTTAAGCATTCTAGTACCTTTATCTATCTTACTTTGCCGTTTTAGACTTATTACGTGTTATTTATATTTTCAGGCACTAATCCCAAAATTGAGCTAACTCAGCCAAATAAGAGCTTAATTGAAGCAATCCTGAGATAAACCAAAGGAGGGAGCAAAGTGGAGAAAGAAAGGAGCAAAAAGGAATCAAAGTTGTGCAGCTGAAAAGTTCGATCGATCCAACTTAGAGTTCGATCGATCGAACATCTATGATCGATCACAGTACTTCTCGATAGATCCAACCTTGGCCTTTGCTGAAATTCCAAGTTCGATCGATCCAACATCACCTTCGATCGATCAAACCCTATTTTGTCCTATTCAAATGATTGATCTTATCCACAGCTGTACGCCTACCAACCACTTTTGTCCTTTTTCCCATAAATATCTTCGAAATATCTCAGCCTTGTTCTTATCCGGAGGAGTCAGACCACTTCGATCGATCCAAGATGCAGTTCGATCGATCGAACCCATCTTCGATCGATCCAAGTTAATGTTCGATCGATCGAACTTCCTCCAGCAAGAAAAAGTTAAAGTCCAGCTCATTTATTCCGTCCTTCACCCAATCATTGGAGAATATGCCTTGCACGACCACAGCTCATCGTAGGGTGTATTTGACCTACCTATATAAGGAATATGATACACTTTTTGGAGAAGAGTCTAGAGTCTCTTGACACACATTGAAAATCATCTTGGAGGCTATTCTTGGAGAGGAAGAAGGGAGGAAGCTAGAGCAACCATTGGAGGAGATCTTCATCTACAAGGAGCAGCCATGGAGTTAGCCCTTGAGGGTTGGATCATCACTACCATGAGTGGCTAGACATCTTCTTGGGGCTAGAGTTAGCCCCAAGCATGCTTTCTATACTCTAATCTTGTGTATTATTGAGGGATTAGTGTTGTATGATACATCTTGATATTCATGTATATATAAATTTTGATTATTTCATGGTTTGTATGGTTTAATGCTTCCAATTGACTATTCTATTCTACCCATATGTCTATGTATGCTAGAGTAGGATATTCATGTGCTTATCTTTAGATTTAGTGTTTTTGATGCATGTCTATGTGTATTGATGCTATAGATCTAGAGATTATCAAGATGATATGCTTAATGAATGCTATTTTGGTTCATTTGATGGTTTATGCCTATTCTTGATGGTTTGTGCCTCTCCCCTAGTCTAGATAGCTTTATTTTCATGCTAGTAGTGTAGATTTAGTGTAGTGGAAGTATAATGTTAGATGGGAGGACAATTTACTCTTGATGTTTGATGTTCCATGCTTGTGAGTCCAAATGACATATTCCTCTAATATTGTGTTGCATGTGGATTGTGAGCTTAATGAAGGATTAATGACTTGTTTTGATCTATTGTGCTATCCCCATGTTGTCTAGACAATATATGCTCTATTGCTTAGATATATTGTGCTCTTCACATGATGTTTAGACAATACTTGCTTGATTTGTCATCCTTGCCAATTGAACCAACCTAATGCACACACACCCTTATCATATTGCAACACATCCATTACCCTCAATTGATCACTTGTTAGTAGTATAGAAAAGTATTGCTTGGTGGTGATCTCTACACCCCAAGACCTCTCTCTCTTGTTTACCTCATATTATTTTATTTAGTTGAATTCAATTTAGCTTAATCAACCAACCAACCAATTGTGTGATCACTTGACCTACTAATCCTAATTACCATAGTTTCACAATTCGATACACCATCAAATCCCTTGGGACGATCCCTACTCGCCCTATCTATATTTTATATAGAGAAAGGTAGTAGTGGCTTTTTATAAATGTAAAACTTGGCCACCTCCTAAACACACACAACTCTTCAAGCTTGACTTGGTATCGCGACCCTTGTAAAGGACCGGTCAGTTTACATTCTTGGGGCACTCCCTAATATGAATGTTGTTAGGGAGTTGGAGTTTCATGTGAAGAATATCTAAATCAATGGGCATGGTAAGGACGAACACGATCCCCAAAGAAGTATGTAAAGTTTTTAAGAGAGAAAGGGAAGCAAAACTAACCTCAAGAGGATTCAAAGTTGCAAAAGATGTTGCAGGATAGCTGAGAAGGGAGGATCTTTTGCAGGGATTCGCCGGGGAAGATTTGATTTGCTTGGAAAGAATGAACAGTGAGTTGATTGACAGCGAGATGTGATAGAGACGATAAAGAAGGCTGTGAGTACAGATTGAGGGTTTATAAAGGAAATGTAGACCCAGTAACCGAGATGTTAGGAAACTAAAGAGATTTCAAATTTCGTAAATATTAATTCTGAAGCCGACTGCTTAGTACCCTACGTAATCGCCTTGAGCCACCAAATCATCATTAGCTCCCATTGATAATCTCACCTTAATTAATTAGGGAGAGATTATTGGGGGCAGATAAGGATGCCAAAAATGGTGCGGGCCGGGTACGACCCATACGATGAGAAACGGGTTGGGAAAGTGATCATGGTCTGAACCAAATTCTCACAAGTCAGGCCTAAGATTGAAGAATGAAGTTGAAAGCCCCCAGAAAGTACTCAGGCCCATGACTAAAGAAGCTCGGGAGTGAGCCCAACATAATGAGTTAGTTAGGAAGCTTCTAGAAGGCATGTAATAGTCTATAAATAGACTGAAAATAGAGGAAAAAAAGGGTTGAAAAATTCTTGAAGCGTAAAGATATTCTGTCAAAATAAAGAGGGAAATTTCTTACATCTTCAGAGCTGTACTTGCCGATGCAGAGGAGCAGGAACTCACAAACCCTGAGGTTGAAAACTGGCTCGATAAACTCAATGATGCATTTTATGATGCTGATGACTTGCTGATGACAGGCTATGACTCACAACACAAGTCTAAAAAAGGTACGCCATTTTTTCTCTAGCTCAAACAAGCTTCCTTTCAATATTAAGTTGGCTCATGAGATTAAGGCCATTAGGGAGAGACTAGATGCAATTGCCCAAGATAAGAAAAAGTTTCACCACACTGAACGACCTATAAATCAGATGCGACTTGAGAATGTTAAGAGAAAAGAGACCTACTCTTTTGTTCGTGCAAAAAGTGTTATTGGGAGGGACGGTGATAAAATGACAATTGTACAACTTTTATTGGAAACCAACGTTCAAGATCAGAATGTGTCAGTTGTTGCAATAGTTGGAATTAGGGGACTAGGAAAGACCGCACTTGCACAATTAGTATATAATGATGAGAGGGTCAATAAACATTTTGATCTTAAGATGTGGGTTTGTGTTTCTAACATCTTTGATGCGAAGGTCGTTGCAGAAAAGATGTTAGGGGTCAAAATACCTGAAAACCTTTTGATGGGTAAATTACAAGAAAAAATTGGTGAAAAGAAATTTTTGCTTGTGATGGATGATGTGTGGAACGAGAATCGTGACAAATGGTTACAAATGATAGATCTGCTGGTGGGTGGTATGAGAGGAAGTAAGATTTTAGTAACTACTCATTCTGAGTTGGTTGCAAATGTTACAGAGTCAAATTCACCATATATTTTAAAAGGCCTATCTGAGGAGTCGTCATGGTCTTTATTTGAAAAAATGGCATTCAAACAAGGGAAAGAGTCAGATAATACACTTCAAGTAACAATCGGCAAGGAAATTGTTTAGAAGTGTAAAGGAGTCCCTCTTGCCATAAGGGCTCTAGGAAGCCTACTATACACTAAAGATACAATGGATGAGTGGTTGCTTTTTAAAAACAATGGTTTGTCAAAAATAGCCGAAGAAGAAGATGTTATTTTTCCAATACTGAAGTTAAGTTATGATTATCTCCCTTGCATCTGAAGAGATGTTTTACATTCTGTTCCTTGTATTTAAAAGATCAAATTATTGATAAGCAAGAATTAATCCAATTGTGGATTGCAGAGGGATTCATTCGAGGGCCGGTGTATGAAAATCAACAGTTGGAGGATGTTGGTGACTTATATTTTATGGATTTACTTAGGAGGTCCCTTTTTCAAGTTATTTAAGAAATGGATGGCGTGTTGTAGAAAGTTGCAAAATGCATGATATTGTTCACGATCTTGCGCAATTGGTTGCGAAGGCCAAATGTTTCATGGTGAATTTGGATGTAGAAATTGTTAATGAAAAAATTCCTCACGGTGTCACTTGATTGCAGTGTAAATTTATCACAACAAATTTCAAACCACTTGGTTAAAGCTAAAAAGTTACGAACATTTTTTTGGAATCATGGAAAGGTTGTATTTTCAAATAAATTAGATTGTGAAAGAATTGTTTTAACTTTTAAAAGGTTACGCGTATTGGATTTGCATTTCGTGGGGATTGAGATTGTGTCGATTTACATAGGCAAATTAAAACATTTAAGGTATCTTGATCTCAGTAAAAATGGGAGTATGGAGACTCTGCCAAGTTCCATAACCACATTGTAAAATTTGCTGACCTTAAAACTCAATGGATGTTGGTCTCTTAAAGAATTGCCAAGTGATTTTAAGAAATTGGTCAGTCTTAGACATCTTGAACTTGACAACTGTGGTGCATTGAGTTGCATGCCTAATGGATTAGGTGAGTTGACGTCTCTTTTGAAATTAACATTGTTTGTAGCAGAGTCAAATAACCGATTGAATGAATTGCAAAGCCTAAACAATTTACGAGGAAGGTTAAAAGTTGCAGTTGGACGCTGGGACTGCTCATCTGGCCGCAGGTGTTTAAAAACAACATCAGCAAGTGGCCTAAGCTGGAAATTACAGTTTGATTTAACATGTAATGCAGATAATGAGAAGGGGTTATTGTTTGAAGTCCTACGTCCACACCTGAATCTAAAGAAGCTGGAATTAGTTAATTATTGGGGAGTGAGTTTCCCAAGTTGGATGATGGTTGACAAAATTGGCTTATCCCACCCAAATCTAATCAAAATTGATATACACCGCTGTCATGGATAGAAACATCTTCCACCATTTGGGCAACTTCCTTCTCTCCAATTTCTTAAGGTTGATGATATGGAATACCAGGAGTACATTGACAGTAGTACTGGCCATGGTGACGAAGAAGAGAACCAACGTCAACATCAAAATTCATTCTTCTCGTCATCGAGTGGAGCAACAACAGTACCAATATCAATATTTATTCTTCCCATCGCTGAAAGAACTCGAACTCTCTGGCTTGTCTAAATTGAAGGGATGGTGGAGGACAATACAATACCAACATCAAAATTCTTGCTTCTCTTCTTTACCCTCCTCATCGAGTGGAGCAGCTGCAAGAGGAAGAGCAGCAAGAAGAAGAGAACCAACACCAACATCAATATTCTTCCCATCCCTGGAACAGCTAGAAGAAGAGCTCTCTAAATTACTTATTACTGAAGCAGAAGAAGAAGCAACAGCAACCACAACTTCTTCACCAGCCCAACAGCAATATCATCGGCTCCCATCATTTCCTTCACTTTCCAAATTGACCATCCGTAACTGCCCTAAACTACCAGTGTCTCTTCTGCAACCATGTCTTGAAACACTAGATCTCTGTAGGGTCAACAAGAATCAAGTACAACAACAGTTAATGATGATGGTGTCCCCAACAACTGTCACAACGTCGTCCTCTTCATCTTCTTTGCTTCTTCCTCTTTCCAATTTAAAGTCTCTGTCTTTAAGATCCATTGAGGATCTAGTTACTCTGCTTGAGGATTCGTTTCGTAACCTTACTTCTCTCCAGAAGCTTGAGATTAGGAATTGTGAAAGACTAACCTCTCTGTCAGGAACACTGCGACATCTCACCGCACTCAATTCCTTGTCTATCTCCGAATGAAAAGTGGTTGATCTGTTAGATGATGACGACGGCATGCAATTTCAAGGCTTCAAGAGCCTGACGTATCTCCATATTGAAGCTCTTACAAAGCTGGTATCTCTTCCTGTAGGGCTTCAACATGTTACCACTCTGCAAAAACTAGACATTTTACCATGCCATAAAGTTTTATATGATAGATGCCAGAAAGAAACAGGGAAAGATTTGCCAAAGATTGCTCACATCCCAATTGTTTCTATTCATCCATATCATCTTTTTTGGGTAAGACCATTAAACTTCGTCTTATTCTTCTCCCTTCTTGTTCATTGTCTCTTTCTTTATTTAAGTTCAATTGTTTGTTTTATGGGACAGAGGGACGACTTTTATTTGCAATCAGACAGTGATGGGGATGACGAGTCATTGTAATAAGTAAACAAGATTGCATATTTCATTCTACAAATTCCAACTACAACAACTTAGTAATTATCCTCCCTCTAGTCTCTTGTCATTGTACTTCTTTCTTCCTCCTCTTCTCTTTTTGTTATTATTCATGTTATACTCTTTAACACATATCTTTTAATAAAATTATACCGAGTTTGAATAGAAATATTATATTTTTTCTTTTTGATCTTATCAGGGAATGTCCGCATGTGCTATGGGGCATATTTGTTTTACAGTCTTATTCTTTTTCCTCTCCATGTGTTTAATCTCGAAGGTGAGACATTTTTAGTAGCTTAAATATTTTTGTGACTTTATGAACCAATTTGTGAAAACTTGCTTCGAGTCTGAAAACTTGCTCCGTATAGCAGAACATGCTCTCTCTCTCTCTCTATGAGCAAAAAAAAAATTGATCGGATAGACGAGTAATCGTCTTTTACATTGCGGTGACAAGTGTGAGAATGCATTTCAAGCCTGCTTGGTGCAAAATTGTAACGACCCACTCCACCACATGGTATGATATTGTTCGCTTTGGGCATGAGCCCCCACGGTTTTGCTCTTGAGTTTCACCCCAAAAGGCCTCATACCAATTAGAGATGACACACTTACATATAAGCACTTCACCTTTCCTCTACCCAGGCGATGTGGGACTGTGTACCCGTAGCTCGCTAATGTGGTAGCCTGTCAGTGTCTCTCGCACCCGCCCACGACACACCCGCCCACAAGGTCATCACAATCCACCCCCCTTGGAGGCCCGACGTCCTCGTCGGCACACTTCCGGCTGGGTCAGGCTCTGATACCATTTGTAACGACCCACTCCACCACATGGTATGATATTGTCCGCTTTGGGCCTGCGCCCGCATGGTTTTGCTCTTGGGCTTCACCCCAAAAGGCCTCATACCAATTGGAGGTGATACACTTACATATAAGCACTTCATCTTTCCTCTATCCAGGCGATGTGGGACTGTGCACCCGTAGCTGGCCAGTGTGGTAGCCTGACAGTGTCTCTCGCACCCGTCCACGGCACACCCGCCCACAAGGTCATCACAATCCACCTCCCTTGGAGGCCCGACGTCCCCGTCGGCACACTTCCGGCTGGGTCAGGCTCTGATACCATTTGTAACGACTCACTCCACCACATGGTATGATATTGTCCACTTTGAGCCTAAGGGCGGGTGTGCCGTGGGCGGGTGCGAGAGACACTGTCAGACTACCACACTGGTGAGCTACGAGTGCACAGTCCCACATCGCTTGGGTAGAGGAAAGGTGAAGTGTTTATATGTAAGTGTGTCATCTCCAATTGGTATGAGGCCTTTTAGGGTGAAGCCCAAGAGCAAAACCGTGAAGGCTCAGGCCCAAAATGGATAATATTATACCATGTGGTGGAGTGGGTCGTTACAAAAATAATGCCAAAGTCTAGTTTTGTCTCCGTCTTTTCTCCCATCATTACCCTGAATAAGGTAACCAAGCCTATTTAATGTCCTGTTAATGGTTTTCTGTCCACACTCAATGCTAGGTTTATTACCACTGAAAGATGGAGTGGAGAGATGACAAATATCAATATTACTTGCTAATGTGGTTCTATCTCGTGGATGAGACTGCAGATTTCGACTCGATGCCTGTGTTTGCAATCATTCCCTAGCAAGGGAAGTAAATAACATGTAAAAGGTTTCTTTTTATTTAGTAATGTACAAATTAATGGTTTTATGAGAATGCATAATATTTTACTCCCTTAAAATTCCCTTATCTAAATAGGTAGTATCATTTAGAGAATGGCAACATTTTTGTTTTAAGAAGATATCTTCAGTGTCTGAAAATGTTAAATCTTTATTTAATTTCTCAACAATTCATTGTGTTATATTTTACTTATCTTTATGCTTTAATGCAAATTTTTCTTTGCAGAACATCTAAACCCTCAGATTCACTAGCTCCGGTAGTGAGATTCATATCTTTGTGAGTCTGTAAGACTTGAGAACTTCGTGTGCGCTACATTGGGTATGACACTAAATTGATGGACATATTTCTGCTTCTAGATTGCATTATTATTGTGTTGCGATGGATCTTGAATGCTTAGTTCAAATGAATTTAGAATCCTGTCATGGAGCATGAAGGTTCACAGGACGAAAACTCAGAGGCAGCAGCAGTTGCTAGGGAAATGTGAATCTACGTGTATATAAACGCTGGTTCATCAAGAATACATAAGAAAAGCACTTAAAATTGTCGATTAAGTTGAGAGAAGTGATTCTTTCAAACCTGCAGCTATTTGTTTAGTTGAAAAGTTGGATTTGAGAATTTTCAATTACTTGGATTTGATTAAAAAAAATTATAATTTGTGTTTAATTGACTCTTATCATGCCAATAGGCCATTTGGGATTGTATGAAATTGGAGTATTTGTGATGTAATATACTTCTGGAGGAATATATGCACATACATTTGTTTTAAGTCTACAGCAACTTAACTATCTCATTCCTTAGCCAAAACAAAACCGTACTTTTGAATTTAGAAGATTGTGCCGAGCCTAGTAGCTCAGTTTGTGACCAAGCGAGGCATTAAAGTGGCTTGATGTTGAATGGTAAACACCCAACCCACCATGGGCTCGGTAGCAATCAACTCTCATGAATCCTTGACGAACTAGCTACATGAATTGTTAAAAATTGAAACTGCTTTGGCTAGAGAACTAGCTACACGAATTGTTAAAAAAAAAAAAATAGAAGACAGTGGTACTCCATGAACTACACTTCTTCTTCTTCTTCTTCTTCTTCTTCTTCTTCTTTTCGTTTCTTTTCTTCTTCTTTTTTAAATATAATACAAAGATAAGCGAAAGAAAAAGTTTTAAAATTTTAACATGCAAACAAATTAATAGAACTCAAAATTCTGAAGAAATGAATCAAGAATCTCATAACAACCTATAGATTACTTTGGAATACCTAAATTAAAAGAAAGAACATATCTATGCATACCTGTAATATAATGAAAGTACAATTTCATAAAAATGAAATGAGTGCATATGACATTTACCTAATAAAATGAGTGCCAGAAAATTGGGCCGAATATTACATACGACGTTTAGCCAAAGCCTGTTTGTCAAACCAATAGGACCAAATTGGGCTTCAAGTAAAGTTTGATTCAACCAAAAGTTGCTGGGCTTCTTATGCCTTCTGGATTCAACAGCCAAACGTGGGCTGGCTTCAAAGTAAATGGGATACTGATCTTTAGTTTTCTGACATTGGAAGTTGGCTTTTGCTAGGCCGAAGATGGTGATACATCCAACTGGACAAAAAATAATAATAATAAATAAATAAATAATGAGATGAACTTTACTTTCTAACTTTATCTTTCGAAAAAAAAACTTTACTTTCTAACTCTACTTTTGCTATATTGGGCGAAAGCGTCTATTTCAAAACTGGTCCTTCTCTTTTTTCAGCATGGGAAGCTAGTAAATTGCAACCAAATCATACTACCTCAATCCCATATTAATAGTCCATTATCTCATTTTTGATATCCTAAATTAGCTGTTCATTTTAAAAAGTCACAGCAAATAAGTCTTTATCTTTCCATCATTATCTTTTATATCTTGGAAAAACTTCAAACTTAATAACTATATTTATTTAAATTAAAAGTACAAGTTGATAATTTTAAAATGGGACAATACACTGTTTAAAAACTCTAATTTCTAAACATGAATATTTAATATGGGACAAAGGGAATAGTTTAAGAGGACCCCATAGCTCAAGGTTTTTTTTTTTTTTTTTTGCATTTTACCCGTTTATAATAATAGCAAGGGCATGTTACACTATTTCTTTAAAGTTTGGACCATTCTCATTAAATAGTTAAATAGGATTTTTACCCATTTATAATAATAGCAAGGGCATATTACACTATTTCTTTGAAGTTTGGACCATTCTCATTAAATAGTTAAATAGGATTATAAAATATCAGTTATGCCCTTATTCATAATATATTATTATAATACAAAATATGCATTTATTCTCTCTCATGTCTCTTATTTCCCTTTCCCTCTCCTGTCCACCTCCGGTCCTCCCATCACTGTCGATTCATCCAACCGCCACCACTATACCACCCCCTCTCTCTCTCAACAACAAATCATATATACAATAATACATATACACACAATATATATGGTTCTTGATATGAGTTATATTATTATACAAAATACACAATCTGTCTTTGGGGAAAAGCCCATTTTTGGGTTTGTTCAAGAGCACCTACTACCATGCAGGTGACAATCACCACCAATGGTGTGTTTCAATAATTGATTGGCTCTCTCCCTCTAAATATATATATATATATATATATATATATATATATATATATATATATATCTATGCAATTGACTCTCTCTTTCGAATTGGAAATGGCCATGACCGGTTCCGTTACACTCGATTTACCCGTGTGTACGAAATTACATATGAACCGGCCTAGTAATAAACCGGCCTACAAACTTTAAATTTTAAAACTTAAATATGGGCCTTTAAATTAGTAGTGCAGCCAACTTTTTGAACTTTAAAGATGGTAATTGGTAAGAGGCACGCCCTCCTAACCTTTTGGTTGATTAGGCATTGGCTTTATAAAAAGAGTTATTTACACCTTCTATTAAACTTTCCTACATGGGAACAATGACTTGTACCTTCACAAGCTTCTTTTTATCTCTAGACTTTTTCACACTTTTCAAAATATTTCGATGTGGGATACAAAGGGTATTATGTGAGGATTTGCTTTCTCTATCAAAATTTCTAGTAACCTAATAGAGCAAACCATCTATTTAAATTTGTATCTTTTACTCTCATGTGTTGTATATGATATGAAATTTCATCTCTTTCATAATTGACTTACTTTTTATTCATTAATTATGTAAAAAGTATAATTACTAAGTCTTTTTAATAATAATAAAAAAAAACATTGATTCAAATTCATGAATATATTATTATTAGTGTTAAATGATGTTAAAAAATTCATTAAAACTTACCAAAATTAATTTTAAAAAAATTATCTTTACCCAATTATGTTAAAAAAAAACTACCTATAGATATATTTTGATCACCGTATGCGAGTTTTAAAAAAAATTCACGATTGCGATAATCGTTACCGTTATGGAACACCGATACTTGTCCGAGTCCGTTACACCCCAACCGATATCGCAACTGCGAACCATGACTCTCTCATATACACAAACTATATATGGGTCAAGTACAAAAAGCACTCCTAAAATATGCTTAACAGGCATATCACACCCCTCACGTGCAAAACACACCCCTAAAATTTCAATTTGGTGCAAGCAGATCCTTCTAAATTTAAATCCTAAGTTGACTAAATTACCCTAAATATATAAAAATAAATAATTTTGTAAAATGACTAAAAAAGACACTATTAGTTTACCAATTTTGATTTGTGATTTTATTTGACTACTTTTTGTATCTAAACCACCGTGGTATACAAACATTTTAAAATCTTTTACTTGCCTTTCTTGATTATCAAGAATTTTAGGTAAGCTTTTCCAAAATACATATTTGCCCTTGCATACGTTAAAAAAGAAATATGTTAGCCGAGGGACTCAATTTGGCCCGCTTATAAAATTTGATGCTTTTAAAATTGGATCATTTGTGTAATTTTTATCCACTCAATAAGACATTATTTCTAAATTTTTAATTAGTTGTTTTTACTTAAAATAACTCATTTTACAGTATCAACCATTCTACTTCCAAGTTTATAAACTACTATGATCTTCCAACATCACAAAAAACAACATTCAACACATAAAATCAATTAATCTGCAAATACAAATATTGTATAGATAAATATTTTTTATGACTAGAAAATATGAAAAAATAATAACATATGGTAATCCAAATAAACATTTGATAAGATGTGAAAATTTCAATTCGTAGATAACTTCATTAAATTAGTAAAGTATTTAGAATGAATTTTAGTTTTACCAAGCATATTAGTCTTAAAATAATACTAGTAACACAACTAAAACATTCTATGTTTGACACATATTCAGTATAATTGAAAGGTAAACTAAACTTATAAGAACCTTACCTAATGTTAGTTTTACTCGTTATTAAACTCTTACTCGTTATTAAACTCTAAACTCTTATATGCATGAAATACAATTTTAAAATTAAAAATTCCTTTCTCATATAAGTTTTGTGAAATGAATATCTGATGTAATTGGTCACAAAAATCCTTAAATGCAAGCACATGAAACTACAAAATCTGATTTAAATAGGAGCATTCAACTTCTTAAAATCAGTAATTCTTTTCATATTTTTAAATGCAATCTAAATCCAAATAAATCTTCACCCCTTCACATATCAACAAATAAAATCCAAGATGTCACTGGAATTAGATTCAGGTTTTTCACAATCAAACTGACAATATTGAGACCTCATTTTCGGTTTTTAATGAACCCTGGAAGAAGATGAGCTTCCAGTATTCAACCTCTTATAGATTCGATCAGACTGTCTGCAATGTAGTAGCAGAATATTATTCCGAGTCTCTTTAATGGCCGAACCGACTTCAGCCAAGCCCAACTTGCTGGTATGAACCTAGCTTCATCTACAAAGCCTGGCAATGCTCTTTGCACCTCGAGAATAAAGCGTCAGTCATAATAGGTACATCGGGTAATTAGTAAAATGAGAAAGCTCATAGATAGTTTAAACAAATTCACCACCACAAATAACACAATGTCCATTAATGACTCAGCATAATTCAGCATCATAGTCCAATTATCAGCAACAGACTCAACAAACCAGACATAAAATGGGGAAATCCAATCTCAAATGCCACAGAATAAGAAAATTTACATGTACAGAAAGTGACTAAATCAACCTCTTCACCAATGAGCCGTTAACTGTGCAAAAGAAGAAAAAAGTTCAACACAAATAGGGGGAACTAACTTTATTTGGCTTAGACCTCGGGAGCAGGGGCAGTAGCAGGCAGCTTCAGAAGCGGTTGGAGAGCCTTAACAACAATGCTCATATTTGGCCTGAACTCAGCCTCGTACTGCACGCATAATGCTGCCACAGCAGCCAGCTGCATCACCAAACGATAGCCTCATTGTTAGAAGCTACTTCTGTGGGTGTGTTTTGTGTGTGCGCGCGCGCATGTGTGTTATAGAGAGAGAGGGAGTGAGAGATACCTTAGCAACACCTTTTGGAGGATATTCTCCCTTGAGCTTTGGATCTACACATTGTTTAACTTTGTCTTCACTCAGTCTTGGGGTAGCCTATCAGGAACAAAATAAATTTAATCAATTCTATGATCTGATCTACACAACTTTACCGGGAGAGAAAAAAAAAAAGGAGTCAACAGAAGGGATGATGAGAACATGAGCAAATATAGAAGGCTCACCCAAGTAACCAGAGACTGCTGTCCACGAGGCATTGTATGATCAACAGGTTTCCTCCCAGTCAAAAGCTCTAGCAGGACAACCCCGAAACTATACACATCACTCTTCTGCGTCAATTGTCCAGTCATTGCATATCTGCATTAGGATTTAACATACCAAATTAGTGTGGCTGGATACTTCTCAGATAAAAGAAAACCATGTGTGAAAAATTCTTTATTGGTTTAAAGCAAAGAGTGACTTCAAACAGGCATAAAACCACAATATGCCTCTATTTGGAGATTAATTTAATGTGTACCTTACTAAAATCTGCAATTATAGTAATTTCTTTGAAATGCAGAAAATAGATTCCTAGGCCCACCTAAAAATTTTAAATAGCAATTTCCCATAATTATGTTACTCAAACACTAACATTCAACACCACCACCGAAATAAAGCCTTCCCAAAACTACTTGGGGACGGCTACATAAAACTTATGATACATTTAAGCAAAAAATCAACCTATCACATATTTGGGTAAATACTTCTGCAATCAAGTGTTCACAAAATCTGAACATTACTTTGGACAAATTAGGCATAACTTCATTAAAAAATTAAAAAATAATTAAGAAGTAAGAGTGCTGACATCTCAATGATGCATCTTAGTAACAAAACCTATAACAACACAGTTAGTTTTAAAAGTAACCAATATCCCCAAATAATCACAGTCGTGTGTCCATTAGAAAGAACCCGTTAAAAGATAAATTAGAGAGCAGCATTTTTTTTCAGAAAGCTAAATGGCAGAATAAACTGACACGCGGCTTGCTGAAATCATTTATCATAAACATCACAATTTCTAATGACAAGTGCAACTCAGACTAAAAATCATCATTTACCTGAAAGTTTTGCTTACCTGGAAAAACATTAAAAATTATCACTAGCGTTCTCAGAAGTCATTCTTCCTCGAATATTGTTTCAAATAAATCAAAGAACCAATTTGTATGAAGGGCAAACTCCAACCGGATAATTGGGCTCTAGGCGGAGTGCTAAGATATTACATAAAAAAGAGGTTGAAACCATGGTGTATAATAGGAAAGAATGGAAAAAAATAATTCATGTGGCCGACCCCAAATCTATGGGATAAAGGAGAGGATGATGATGATGAAAAACAGTTCCTCAACAAGCTTCTAATTGAAGTCCGAAAATCATACAACATTTTCCCTTCCCTCCTAATAACAATCTTGTGCTTTCAAATTTTTAGATTAAAATTGAAATTTCTTGTTAATTTAATTACCAACCAAGAAAATATTGATCCTTAACTGACCAGTTACGATAAAATACTGATAGTTGGAGAGTTGTCCTGTGGCCTATGATTTTTGGGGTCTTCTTTTTGGCTTGTTTGGAGTTCAGTGGGTCATGCCTCGGTCTTCAAGAGGCTTGATTGATGCTTGGATAGGGTGCCTTGTGGGATCCCATGCTCGCGATTATTGGAGGGTGGCGCCCTTATGCATTTGGTGGTGTCTATGGAAGGAGCAGAATAGAAGGTCCTTTGATGGAGAGGAATCTTCTATTGGGTCTTTAAAATCTCTTATTGTTAGCTCGCTTTTTTGCTGGGTTATGCAGAGAAATTGTAAGTCTATAGAGGAATTAGTTGAAATTTTGGGGTTTTGGGGTCCTTAGGGTCCCTCTTGGCTTTTGGCCTTTGTGTAGCCTTTAGAATGTGTTCCCTTTTGAATGTTTTCTAATACATTTTTATTTCAAATGTTTATAAGAGTGATCCAAGTACACCTACATCATTCATAATAGGGTAAGTGGCATCCCAAGTGACCATTCTGGTCTGGCAAACTGTAGGAAGCAAAGTTATAATTAACATTGCTAAATTGTCATCCCAATGATGGTAAGTTGCAACCCCCAAAACCCTTATTAAGTTGATATATTTAATGCAATAAATACACAATAAATCACCCTTTAAAGATTAATAATCATTGGGCCAGAATACATTTTCAAGTCACGATATAGGTCATTAAATGGGGGCTAGCGATGTGACTCAGTCGCAGCATATTGGATACCAATCAGGTAGTATTCAAAGATGAGCTACGTACAAGTCTTATAAAATAGAAAAATAAGAATAAAAAATGAATTTACATAAAATAGAACATTTATAAAATATATAACATTGTCTAAAAGATTTATAAAGGAATTAGTATCACATCATAATCATATCATAGATCCAATTATAGCTCTACAAAGACCTAATGACATTTAAATATTATATTTACTATTTCAAAAAAATTACATATAAAATAACAATATGCATGCACACTTGGAAATATATGAATAATTATCTACGTTTAAAATGAAATTTGAAAATCAATAAAAAATACTTTTCTCTTTCTTTTTGCTTTTGTGTTAGAGAAAACCAACTACCCAAGGATCAAGACTGGATATACTTGATGATCGAACGGGATAAAACACTACTGGCCGGAGATATGAGTGAAGCAGAGAGAAAATGTGAGACTATAAATGGGTTTTGGAATGCAAGTAGAAGACATATTGTTTTAGGGAAAATTGAACGACTGCCAGTGGGAAGCATTGTTTTTGTAAAAAAAAAGGTGAAATAATATGTCTAAAACATTACAAGCCAATACCAATATGGCTAGTGCAACACCACACGAGATAAATATATAGAGTGGTACTTGTGATTCATTGCACAATACTATTGAGACAAAGTTGTCTCACTTAAATATTGTACTGGCACTCATTTACCAGCAGCCAGTGAGATTGAGATGACTTGTGCAAGTCAACTTGGTTGCCACTGATGCTACACCCCTTGGCCAAAAGAACTCATAATCGATATAAGAAAATACTATTTCCTCATCAAATCTTTGGAAGTCAATTGCTATATGAAGTGACCTAATGAAATAAAAAATAAAAAAATTAGAATTCTCGAAAGTCCTCTAATTTCTTAGGATCCTGCTATAGCTGGACTAGAAAGTAACTGATTGGTTGCAATAACGTCGAGTTTGTATCAGCAAATAGCATGAAACTAAATCACACAAGCACAAAAATAAAATATCTATTCTGTGAGAGAGAGAGAGAGAGATGTAAGAGACAGAAAATAAAATAATAATAGTCACAACCACCCCATGATTTGGGTCTTAGAGACATACTCTGGCGCATGATATCCAAAGGTTCCTAAAACTCTTGTAGAATGAAGGCGAGCAGCCATGTCAGGAGCCTGATTTGAAAGGTTGAAATCTGCAATCTTGGCTTTAAATTCCTCAAATAGGAGCACATTGCTAGATCTAATATCTCTGTGTATTATAGAAGGTTGAACCTTCTCATGCAAATACTCCAATCCCCTTGCAGCATCAACAGCAATTCTCACACGTTGCATCCAGTCAAGCACAGGACCTGGCTGTGCCCCTTGGACTCCCTTTCTACCTGTGTGTTGATATATAATTCAAGAAATTGCTTCTCACTTTAAGAAATTTTGAAGTAAAGTTCTTACTCAATTAAGAGAAGATAGACCAATTATGCATACCGTGCAAAATGTCATGTAAAGATCCCATGGTTGCAAACTCATATGCTAAAACACGGATATCACCTTCAACACAGTATCCAAACAACTCTACAAAATTTTCGTGCTTGAGTCTCGAAACCATGGAAACCTAAAACGAAAGGAGGACCCATATTATCAGATAAAATGATAGACATAAAAAATTCATTATTAAGAAAATGAAAATTGTAAACTCAAGGAAACCAAGGAAATCAAAGACAATTTATTCCATAAAAAGTTTGAAAAATAAAAAAGATGCACATACCTGAGTCAAAAACTCAACATTTGACTCATCAGGATCAGATGCAACATCAAGCTTCTTCACAGCTACAGCTTTCCCACTATTTAAGTCTGCATAATATACCCTTCCATAGGATCCTTCGCCAATCAATGCCTTCGATCCAAAATTGTCAGTTTTTTCTTTTAGCTCATCCAAGGAAAGTGCGGGAACTTCAATAGGTGGTACTGCCTTTTGTGGTTCAGCTTTAACAGGAGCTGAAACCTTTGACCCTTTATGGTATCCTAATGTGCACATATAAATTACCAACATTAGCAGAACACAAACAAATATTTGATTTTATGAGAAAGACTACAGGCCAGGTTGCAAAAGACCACAAAACAATTCACTAGTTAACAAGAATGCTTCCCTAAGAAGGGATATACAAGATAAAAGTCAATATGCGGTGCTGGCCCTCTTTAAGCAGGATGCTAAGCAGGAAAGACTGGGAGATAAAGCAAACATTTGTCGTCTCTTATACTCAAGCCGAATTCCTCTGCTTCTCAACCAAGCTTTTTGCATAAAGTAGTTGCTCTCAAGATTATAATAAATATATATATATATATATATATATATATATATATATATATATTCTCACTTTCCTTGTCCTTCTCTCACACTTTACAACATTTTTAAAACAGAAACTAAAAAAAGTGCACGTCTCCACTCTCCCCTTTCTCATTTCACTTTCCTTTACATCTTCGTTATCTTTTTGTACCCATTTCTTTAAAAAAAAAACACAACAGAGAAACTAAAGCATAATTAAATGACATATCCAAGTATAAATGGCCGCCACAGATGTGCAGCTACTAGCTAAGCTAATCTAAAAACCAAAAATACTTCTCAAGGAAGATTTCCTAAAGAAAGAAATTGCAAGAAAAATTGTGACAACTATGTAATTTGTTTTTCATTGTTTAGCGAAGAACATCAATTCATGGATCACTTGCCTAACCCAGTTGGCCTTTCAAGTTGATCCACTTTAAATCGTCAAGCTCATTCACATTTAGATTTTCAAATATTGGTTTAATATAGCATTGCTAACATTTTCTAATAACCAAATTATAACAAACAGGCTGATGGTTATATTTAATGGACATAAATAAGACATCATATGTAAACATTCTCATTTTTTCTTCATTGAAGATATTCCAAATATTTCAAACTCTTACTTTGCTTTTCTAACAAATAAGCTATGATATTATACTTTAAAGATTATAATTTAATAGACGTTAGAAATAAGAACTGTTTATCATGTTACAGATAGTATGACTAACATTTTCTAATTTAAAATCATAACAAATAGGGTTCATAGTCATATTTAATGGACAAAAACTTTGTACTAAATAAGACATGATATATTAACATTATATCTCAATTTCTCTTTCCAAATATTTTGAATTATTATTTTGTTTTTCTAACAAATAAATGCTATTATATTTGGAAATATTACATTATAATATTCAAGATCCGTTAGAAATGAGTCCTAAAGTATCAATGTGTGGCCAAAGTTAAGAGCAGAATTGGACCCTTGTTCAATGTAAAAAAAAAAATTAAAAGCGTTGATATATTTAAGAAGTAACGGACACGAAGTATTAATGCGTCGTAGGCTTAAATCAGATTTTCTTTTAGGACTACACACGGTACCCTTACCTGCAACTCAATGTTATGCAAAGCCTGCTACTCCACTAACTGTGCACTATGCACCTTCTACCTATAAAAGGAAGCTTTTTTAAATCCCAAAAATAACACAATACAACTACAAGCATACTTAACCAATGGCCTTCATTCATCCATATCTTCGTTGATGCTAGCATGCAACTTTCCCACATATCTATACTGAATTATATTAAGAATCCCAACCCATTTCCTATGTCTTCACAGAAACCCGGACAAAACCCAATTCTATTTTATGAATTTCCAGACAGCACCTGTAAAGCTGACTACCATGTCGATTCCATAAAAAGAGGGAAAAAGAACCCCACAAAAATATAATCATAAAAAATTACTAAATAAATAAACTGTAACAAAATAAGGATTCTAAATGCATTAACTAACATCTTGCTAATTAACTATGAACTTGAACTCAATTCGTTCGTAACAAATAACAAGAATATATATTACCTAATACAAACCTGAATGGAACCACAACCAACTTTTGACTTCACTCGTAAATGGAAAACTGACGAGCATAAGACAAATAACATGACCAAATCACTTTTCCCACTACATTGAAGACAAGGATGTGCTTTAAGACTTGATGTAAAACCCAGCTCTATTTCAAACTCTCGAATATTAGGATTGAAAAAGTCTGAAATCACCAACTTTTGGGGTAATCCACGTCTGAGATGTTGTGGAATTTAATAAGTGATTACTATTGAGGGAACTCCAATGCAGAATTTCCTTTTCAAATCCACAAAAGCAACTAACCTCATAGTGATCATACCTAAATTTTAAATACAACTCTCTTGTTCACTTCTTTCCAGAAACTCTTCTTCCCAATTATATATTATATTATATAGTTCTGTCATGCTAATCTTTACATCCAAATCTTCAAAAACTTATTTCAGTTTACAACAGGAATACCTAAGATGAAAACTTGAAAAAGTCAAATGAACCAAATCATTATTACCAACCAAACAAGATAATTATCATAATTTCCTTATAATAAAATTGCATGCTAATTAATATAAAGCAAGATTCGATAGAAATGGGATCAAGTAAGCATACCATCTGCATTGTCATTTGGACTTTTTACGAACTCATCATCATTTGATGGGTAAGACTCTTCTACTTGACAAGTACAACACAGCCACCTGCGCATACTTGATTTCTTTCTCGAAAAACGATCTTCTCTATTATTCTCCAGACGTACGAAGTAACCAGGAGGAGTCGCATGTGCCTGCATAATAAATTACAGTCAAATCTACAGCAGCTACAAGTATTACAGCAAATATTTAAAGTGCATCCAACAACATAACCTTATAAAATTTCATCGATCACTTCGATTTAGACATTAGACACCAGAGGATTAATGAAGCTAACTTTCACATAACATTGCAACTTTCTTCCAAGGGAGCTGACTTGCAAAGACTACTAACAATACTGGTCTAGTGTACAATTATATCTATATATACACATGGAAAACAAAAAAATTTAAGGAAGCAAAATGTAATCATGTAGAAGTTAGAACCCAGAGGTCTAACGTGATCCTGTATCTTGCTAAACTCACCCCACTTAAGATTCAACTTCAAACACACCTTTAACTTTAAGACTGACAAATATAATAAAATGTTGAAATCTGATAGTAGCTGAAATTGCAGTTACAAAAAGGATAATAAAAGCTACATTAAATGCAACTTAAGACTTCAAAGATGATATAATATTACATGTATCTACATATATTACATATATCTATGCTCACATACATAGAGATATATCTACATATACATATATACAGACATTTAGATACACCCAAAAAAATTACTACCAATCAGAAGAAATCTATACCCCTATATAATTGAATAAAAGGTGATGTCTCCAAAGCAATATTTCCAGGTAAAAGGCGAACCAGATAAGGTAACTTGAAATCAAAATACGTATTTTTTTGCATGGTTTCTAATAAAATTAACCTCAGATATATAACCCTAATAGCAGAATTTCATAAATACATGCGAGTTACAAAATTAATTCTCACCTTTGTACCACCACGTCGAAGGAAGTCTTCACCCATTAGCCCAAAAAAAAAAAAATGTAACAGATTAAAACACACCCACAAAAAGAAAAAGAAAAAAAAGTTCTCAATACGATTCGATCAATGAAATATACTCTGAACTGGGCAAATTCAGTAATTGAATTGCGAAAATAGACACTAAAATTGCATGAAAATGGGACTATTATCAAACAAAGTACGAAATATAGGAGACATATGAAAAGAATGTGCGAAATGAATGGGTCAAAAAAAAATCTTCAAGAAATGACAGATAGACAGATCAAGAATAGCCCTAGATCACCAACCGAAAATCGAAAAAGTACCTGATTTCTCTCTCTAGGGCTTGCAGTTTTGTAGATGGTTTGGTATCGGAAAATGGGGGAAAAGACAGGTGGGCAGACAGGAAGGCAAATGCAACGAACGCGACAGGGGACTTGGAAATCTCTCAAGGATGGTTTCGCTGTCTAGCTTTTCGTTACGTATATATAGAGAGAGAAAGTGTGTGTATACGTTTTAGTTTCTCTCTCTAAAAATGCCTACTGGTGATGAAAAAGAGAGGAGGTCGGTTGAGCGGAGAGGTGGCGGAGAGAGGAAGTCATGACAATAATTTGTACAAATTCTTTTCTTCGCCGTCAAAAAGCTTAGTGCGGCCAACGCGTTTTATTTTGCCTCATCCCAATCCCAAGTCCCTTTTCTTAGTCCTTTATCTCTATCTATTAATTATGATGCTTAATATTAATTTTTTATAATATTTAATATTTATATTTTTTGTAATTAATAATATTTGTTGATATTTGAATGCAACTGAAATACGAAAAGCTTGTTCACTAATGTTTCCTATTATTTAAATAGTACCGTAAGGTTTTCAAAAAAAAACGAAGTACCAATTTTAATTGGTATTATTTAATTGGTATTTCCAATGGTTTACCAATGAATAGTACCAATTTTTTTTTTCTTTTTCTTAAATGACCTTTCTAACTACTACATGAGAGAGAGTAATTATTTTATTTTCCAAATTTACAATGTTTTTTTACTTACATGTTTCCACACAATCAAATGAAACAAAAAGGCCTGGCCCTGGGCCTAGGTGTCCAGGCGGTCACCAAAGACCTCTAATTTGAGCCCAAAATTTTGTATTATTAGAGCCTCTCAAATTTTTGGACCTCACATTTGCCCAAATCTCATCAAATATTGAGCCTCTCAACTGGGCTCAAGTGTAAAAGCCACAAAATCTAAAATATTTTTGTGGGACCTATGCACTTTTTGGCAGTAAAAATACCATAAAGAAAGGGTTCATTTATTCTCAAACAAACTACCAGTGAAATAATTTCTAACTTCCCGCTTTCTCTCTTAATTTTAGTGAATTTGAAACACTCCAGAGAGTTCTCTACTAAGAAGCACGAATATTTCTCTGAAAGTGTTGTGGTAGTATCAGACATGTGTCCGTTCCCGATACGCATAGAATATACTCAAACATGTGTCTAATACTCTGGAGAAGTATCCGACTTTTTTAAAATAAATTTTAATTTTTGAATACGGTTGGGATACGCTAAGCCCCCCCTAATAATGAATGGTTTAAGGCTTTAAGCTTTTTTGATGTTTAATATGGTGTGCAATGAAATCTTATGTTTCATTTACTTGCTTATTTATTTATGAATATGTTAATTAAGCATTTAAATTCTAATATTACAGGAAATTGATATTTATTTATTTTTTGTGTAAAAAATGTATATATATATTTTAAAAATTACAATATATCGCCGTACCCGTATCTTATTTTTTTGAGGTCACGTTTGCATCATATCGTATCGGTGATTCATAACTTCTCAATAATTTATTATGTCAATCACGAGTCCTTTCCAAAAATAATAACGTAATATCTATCCAGTCGGGCTAACAAATAATTGTTATACTTCTTTGGTGCATGGATAGAGTGGAATGGAAATCACCATTCTATGAGTAAAGAAAGTCCTAAGAAATTTCACTCTACAACTAAAAATTATAAAATAATCATTCTAGTTTCAAATAATTTTTTTTTTTTTTTTTTTTTTAAATTAAGTTTCTAAAAAACTTTCATTTTTCAAGTAAAAAAAAACTAACACCACCTTCCATTAGGGATTTGGGCGGGTTAGCCGACACCAAATCCAAGATTCTAACACCTTAATCCGTGCTAAACCCAAGTCTTAAGAAATCCATCTCATCTTAGCTCACGCCATACCCCACTTGTTTCTTGAATTTTTCAGATCTCTCAGGCCCAAATTTTAATAACCAAGAAAATAAAATGTAAAAGTATAACTAAAATTCTTTTATATTCTTTATTATTTTGTTTCCTTAGCTAACATTTTATTAGTTTATTTTTATTCCTTAAAATTTTAAAGTTCTTTGTCAAAGTTAGGCAGTAGGATTGACGATAATATAAATAATTTTATTTTATTTTTATTTTACATAAATATATATAATATTTAAAATAAAAAAGTTATAAACTATTCTCATATTTCATGTTAGTAAAACATTTGCTCAAATCCGTACAAAATAAATTTGAAATTTAAAATTTAAATGAGTCTCATTCCATGGTCTCTCAAGGATCTTATTCACTCCCGTAAAATGTTTGGACGGGAATCAGGTTATTCGGGTTAGACCCACCCAAATCCTGACAATTACGATGACAATGGTTTGTCAAGAATGTGAAATGACAATTAAATCCTTCTTACTATTTATTTATTTTTATCATTTACCATTACAAGATATGAATAAAAATGTTTTTCCAAACGTTCTTGCTATTACTTTTTTGGGAAAAAAAGAGAAAAAAACTTCAAAGCTTTATATTTCCTTGCAATTTACTTCTTTTGAAAAAACAAAGAGTAAAAAAATTCCAAAGCTTTATACTAAAATATTTTATATTTCGTAAACCGTAACACTAGTGGAATAAAAATGCCCCCATGTACTTTCAACTGAATCGACTCTGGCCATCTCCTCTTATTCCCGCCAAACGAAACATCAACATCTACTACATCTTCCCAGGGTTTACATTCATTTGATTGGAAATCGATTGTCATCTACAAAATTAGGGTAAAGGAGATTATGAAATTGGAGAGGATTTATGAAATTGGAGAGGATCAAACAAACCGATGGCGACCTAGCCCTAGATTCTAGAAGCCTCAACATTTTCATCTCATCAATATTCAAATCATTCTGATGATGTAATTTTCACACACACACACACATATTTATATGTATTTATGTGCAATTAGAAATATTGAAAAAGCTTTTAGATGCACTCCTCGGAGATGACACTACCTACGAGTTCCATTCATCATAATAATGAGAATTTTTTTTTTCTTCACGTTGTGCAATGCTTTTTATTGCAGTGGCTTCCGCGGATTGAAGTGAAGGAGATTTGGGAGTTACCTTGCGTACTTACGGAAAGAAGACGTGGTGCTTCTGGTTCTTCTTTATGTGGAATATTTCCAGAGAGACCCCTAGCATGGGCATGCGTGAATAATGTTTTATTTGTTTGGCGTTTCAATAAGAGGTGAGAGTGATTTTCCCCCCTGTTTTGGCATTAATGGATTTTGTATGAAATCATTATTAGGGCATGAGCTTCTTTGCTATGTAAGAAAAGACTCTAAAATCAAGGTGTTCTGGTATTATCCTTCAAATTGTTGTGATGTTGTAAAATTGGAGTTTGGTCTTGAAAGTCATGTTAATCATCTGAAATATCAATAAACTTGTCAAAACATGTTGGCTATTATTTAAAAATTAAATAACTAACTGATTTACACTTAATAATCATAGATTTCAAGGGCACCAAAATATATATTTTTTCATTGCTGGTTAAATATTTGATTTGATTTTTTTTTAAGGGATTGTCAATGCTCTGAATATAGTGCGGGGGAGCAGGCTATTTGTGCTGTTTGCCTGGCCAAAGCTAAAACTGGCATTTTTGTTGAAGCCATCCAGTATATTTTGGTCTGGGCAACTCCTCTTGAGGTAGTAACATTTCCCTTTCTGTTTTCGTTATCTTACTTGGCAATCAGTTACATGCAAGTAATGACATTGTTTTTATTTTTTTTTTGCCTTTTACCCTTTCTTCTATTATATTTTATTTTTTGTTTTCATCGAACATAGGTTTTAAAAATGTTTGGATGATGTATTGAACTGCAATTCTTCTAAGTTAGTATTTTTTTTTCTCCATCTCCTGCACAATTTTATATTCCAAATGCAGGTTTTCAAAATACAGAGTTGTATGGTATGGAAATGCAGTTCTTCTTAGTTAGATATTAATTTCTTTTTTCTCTACAACCTAATTTGACCCGTCAAATCCTAATGTGACATCTTGGTAAATGGATGGTCAAGAAGACCAAATGGATAAAGGAGAGCATAATGGGCATTTAAATTGCTTGAATGATTAGCAGAGGTACGATGCCTCTGTTGTAACTACAAAAATGCTAGAAAGCTTTTAATTAGGCCCAAATAACCATACTAGCCTCGTAAACTAAAAATGGCACAATGGATCGAGAGATATGTGCATGCCCATCATGGTCTGGCGCAACAAGACGTTGTGGCATGTATGCCTATGGTCTTTCTCTACCTCACTTATCCCTTGCATAGTTCTCTCACCAGGAAGCTTTTAACTAGGCACAAATACACACTTCAATATAAATATCTCTGAATTATTATATTTAGGTGAGGTTGGACAAGGCTTTTGATGTAGGGGTGCAACTCGGGCAGGTTGGAGGCTCAAATGGGGCTCAACTTGGGGTATGAAATCTTCAACCCTAACCATACCACCCTGGCCTTTAGGGCTGAGCTAATTAACCCAGCTCAGACCGTTCTAAAATATTGGCAGTTGGGTTTGTAAAATCGGGTTATAAAAATGAGTTGGAAAAAAAGACAACCAATTCGAAGGGTTGTAAAAACACGTCATCAATGGTCACTTGAAACTTGACACGATCGTCGCAACGGTGAGTGCAGGCTATAGAAGCAGTACGTTGGGAGGAAATAAGAGTGAGAGAAATGAAGTTAATCAAGTTTTAATCTCGTGATTCTTCATATTCATACACTCATATATAATATATAATAAAGGGAGAGAGATAATAAAGAAAAAGCCTTAAGATTTTATGGCAAGTGAGAGAGAGACAGAGAGCGAGCTTGAGCTTTTACGGTGACTGAGTGCTTTGCAGAGCATTTAATCCTCATACATATCGCAGTGAAAATTTTCAAATGACCAATCTCATATCATATATAATACACACACACACACACACACACACACAAATTACACACAGTTGGGTTTATAATTCAGGTTCTTTGGGTTTCTTAATTCAGGATGGGTTGATTTGGGTTTAGAGGTGTCCGATGCACTAACCCGAGCCTGGATCGAGAAGAATTCAGGTTGCTGTTTTTCAACCAAGCCTAAACTGAGTTTGAAAAATTGCTGCCCCAGCATGAAAAAATTGGGTTGGGCTTGAATCAAGCTCGTGTTACCCTTCCTTAGTTGCAGCCCTATTTTGTTGTAAAATTTGAAGCATCCCAATGATTAAACACATTAATTCAGAATTTTAGAATAAGAAAATAGATAGAAGATGATAAAAGACAGGCACAAATGTTTATATATAAGGGCCAATGTCGCTCACCTTGAATTGTCACTTAGGTTCTATCCTACT